ATGATGTGTTTTCCATTCCTCCAAGGTCTTCTATAGCTGCTGACAACTTCACTGTTCCGCTGATTTCGCTGACGACGTGGTTCATGCTTGTGGCTGTGGGCGTTTTTGCGCTTGATCCGGTGCGACGCAGGTTCTTTGAGCTGTTCTACTACCTGCACGTCTTGTCCTTCTACATGATTGCCCCTGCGGTGCTGTGGCACGCTGCTGCCGCGTGGGAGTACTTTCTGCCCGGGCTGACGGTGTGGTTTGCGGATCGCCTGCTGCGGATGCACCGGAGCACGTCGAGGGTGGAAGTGGTGTCTGCCGTTGCGAGCGGATCCTTTGTGGAGCTGAGCTTCCGCCACGCGGCGCTGAGGGCGGCGCCTGGGCAGTACGTCTTTGTGAATATTCCCGAACTGTCTCTCTTGCAGTGGCACCCGTTCAGCCTGAGCGGCGCCTGCGAGGGGTGCCACACGCTTTACATCAAGTCTGCAGGCGGCAAGAGCTGGACGGGACGGCTGGCGAAGCTGGTGGGGGAGTGTGGCAGGAGCTTCTCACTGGGCGTTGACGGGCCGTGCGGGCGCGTCCAAGAATTCGATGACTACAGTGTCGTTGTGCTTGTTGCCGGCGGCATTGGCGTGACACCGTGCGCCGCGATCTACAGCCACCTGCGCCGGCAGCGAGCGGAGGGTGGTGGGGCCCCTGCCGTGACGCTGCTGTGGTCTGTCCGCGACGCCGCCCTGGTGTCGATGATGTCGTACCTGTGGAGTGACGGCAAAGAGGACTTCTTGGTGAATGCCGGCCCGTTGGAGCGCGAGGTTGCCGCGTGCTCGGTGAGCCCCGCTGCCGCGGTTCCTGCGCTGCGCCTGTTTGTGACAGGGGGCGCGGCGTGCGGCAGTGTTTCCCAGACGGAGGTTGCTGTGACGGCGGGGCGACTCGACGCCGCCGCTGAGGTCCCCTTCGTCGTCGGCGACGCGGATCCCCGCTCGGTGTTGGTGTTTGCGTGTGGCCCGGCTGGCCTGGTGCGAAGCGCGAGGGACGCAGCACTGGCGCTTGGGGCAAACTTCCGCGAGGAGAGTTTCAACCTTTAGAAGGGTGGTGTAGCAGGGAGAGGAGGTGCCTAAGTTTTTTTTTGTTTTTCTTCTGGCCGTTATCGCAATGGCCAGTGCAATGACATGGGGCGGGTGAGTACAACTTCGACAACTGTTTCTAGGAAGTGTAGCATACTAATTACAACCGCAAAAAACTCTCGCCCAACTGTAATGACTGCCAAAATGGAACTGTGTGTGCGTGGTTTTTGCGTGGCCGGCGTCGTTCCGCCGTGTTTTCGCTTTTTGGGAGAGTAAAGGGCGACATGTCACGAATTGGACGCGATTATTTTCCACGCAGCCCAAAAAAAGAGGCGGAACCAGCTGGTGGGGGCCTGCGTTTCTGCGGGTGGCCACCTCGCCACCGCCTGTTGAGGTTCCGGCGGCGTGGTCGCCTCTCTCTGGGGGGGANAGAGAGAGAGAGAGAGTGAGC